AAAGCTCTAAAGAGGCATATCCTAGCCATAAGGCAACCTTCGACACTCCATGTGTTGTTGACTACATCTCGGAAGATGCTCTTCCAGCCATAATGCTGACGAAGCATCAAGGGACGTATAGACCACAACATTTGGTTTGCCAAAAGTTGTTTACCCCTGCCTTTAGGAAAGGGCCTGTAAGGAGCCTTTTTTTTTACCTTTTTAAAGAAATGACATTGTTGAGGCCTAGCCTTGAGTTAAAATAAGTATTCTATGATAGAATATCACTTCATATTATGGTCAGATGATTGAACTAAAATCATAACATATTTTAACATGGAATATTTTCTACTTAACCCTTTTAGTGAGGGGGGAGTGGAAAAGTTAGATTGGGGGATATATGACCAGGGGTTTGTTGTTATGGTATGAGACTGCAAGATTTTTAATGGAAGCCCTTCCTTACAACCAGCCTCCCCACAAACTAAACACACACATCCTCATCACACCCCCAAACCCAGACAAAACGTGCAGCCTCCTCCACTCAGTCTTCAACACATGCAGACTGGTGTAGGAGAGACAGTGGTAAATGCTAGGTATGATGAAAACTAAAGAAGAATAGTAGAAAAAAGACGGAAGTTGGGGAACAGTGTAAGACACGTTCGGCGTGAGATGGGTAGAAAGACACTGGAAAAAAGCGACTGGTAGGAAGATGGGTAATAGAGGAAAATAAGAGATAAAAAGGGGGAGAAAAAAGACTACACGGAGATGTGGGATTGGGGCAGCAACTGGATGTTTGCCGATGGCAGTAAAATTCTGGGACTGGCACTGCATAAACTTATTAATATATTGCTACTTAGTAAATTGGTTAATAAATCTAGCAATGCAAAACTGGATTAATAATTATCATCATTTCAGTGTAGGGAAGATCTATAGACTTTGTTCCGGGTCAAGACAAACAATTTGTGCTAATCTTATATTAGGAGTAAAATATAAAATTGAGTGCTCTTGACCTTGTACTTTTAAATTTAAATGAGCAAGACCCTTACCTTATTTTTCCATCTCCGCATTTAGGGATTTGAAAATGTTTTCTGAGAGTCTTTATTTAATGTCCAGTTTTCATTTAAAATAAGCACATACAGCCTGATTATCTAACATTCTAAACAGATTAGAGCTGAAAGAAGGGTCTGTAAATATGCTTCTTGTTGGGATCAGAATGTAATTACAGCTACTCTGGAATCTGGATTAAGAAACTCAATGGCTGAATTGTTGGTTAATGTCTCCGCAGATTGCTGCTTTTAATCTTAACGTTTGAATGTTCGTTACTGGATGGGACGTCAACCTTGGTTTGTATATATGGAGAATACAGAGTATTAGACAAGTGATTTGATGGCTTCAGTCAGGGCCGTTGCTCTAAATCCTTTTCTTTTTAGAAATTTGAGAATATTTCAACATTTCGGGTTTGTTTTGATGATGATGATGATGAGACTAGATTTGCCACCTTGTTTACATTTTCGGACACCTAAACGATTAAATGCTGCAGGAAGGCTCAATACTGGTATTGATTTAATTTTGCTAATTGATCATTTATTGTTTTTAGGGAATCAGCTATAGAAGCAATCACAGAGATTTTTATTGTCTTAAAAACAAAAATTTACTTTCATGAAGTGGTTTTGGTGTAGAGATCATGCCCTTGCAGTCTCTTTGCTCAAGTCTCTACCATTTAGGAATTAATCACTTTGTTTATGCAGCCTTAGTCACACCTTCCCTGTCTGTAACTCACACAGCCTTCCTAATCATTGCCTGAAAAAGGAAGTCTATATTTACTAGCTTTCTTGCTGCATAGTGTGTTTCATTTAGAATTTACAATCTTCTGCTCTTTTAATTTCCTGCTAGAGCATGCAGCAGCCTCCTGTGTGTGATTAAAGTTCAGTTAACAGAACAGGAGATAATAAACACTCATTCTGCATATCTGATCAGGAACAAGGTTGGATTCTGTGGCTCTTTAACAGCACGTCCGACCAAGCTCTTGTTCCCCAAAAATTCCTCCCAGAGCACAAAGAGTTGAACAACCTTCAAGTATAACTAAAACATGGCAGTCCTTAATGAAATGACAGAAGAGAAGAGCTGCTTCCATATAGGGCGGCCTATACCATGCTTTTCAACAGTTCTGATTTAGGAGAGACAGTCCCAATTTTCATGACCTGTCCCACCGTCCCAACTTTCTTTGTGTCCCGCCTTTGGGCTCTGAATGCGCTGGTCTTGGAAGATTGGCAGTCAGCCTGGGGTGTATTCACACCAGATTGACCTGACAGTAATGTTGACTGATTGTCCCCTGTCCAGGCGGCTCTGCCTAATTTGTGGCAGAGCCAGTGAAACAGTTACCGGTGGGCATGGGTAAAGGGGGCAGACCAGTGATACAATTATTTCACTGGCTCTGAAACAAATTAGGCAGAGCCGCCTGGACAGGGGGCAGGTCCGTCAACCATGACTGGCAGGTCAACCTGATGTGAATACACCCCAGTCTGCCTGCCAATCTTCCAAGACCAGCGCATTCAGAGCAGACCCAAAAGCAGGACACAAGGAAAGTTGGGACGGTGGGACAGGCCATGAAAAATCCTAGATTGGGACTGTTGAAAAGCATGGTATAGGCTGGCCCTACATGGAAGCAGCTCTTCTGTCACTTCATTAAGAACTGCCATGTTTTAGTTGTACTTGAATAGTACTCTGTAACAAGTGTAACCCCATGTATTGTGCACACATACATTCTAGATCTTCAGCTGATCCTAAGTGATGCCATCATACATCATCACTGGGTATCATACCCAAAATAAAGTGCACTATAAAAGCAGTTGATTCTTCTGAATGCAGCTTCAGTTTGGCGTTGCCGTAATGGAGCTTCACATTTTCGAGTTGACATCTTGAATGTGAATCCCGCACATGCATTTATATATTGCCTGTCGTTGTCACTCAGGTGGCTGACAGCCGAGCGCTACACATAGTATAAAGCACATGCAGCTTTTTGTGTCTCTGCCCTGTCCCACTTTACTTCTATAAAATATTTTCGCTGCTCACAAGAAATCTATTCATTTGATTTATTTTTGGAAGCTGTGTTTTTTTGTCTTTTTCCCTCAGGGGGATTTGGATCTCCATCACATTTTTTATATATTTTTTTCCTGTTCTTGACGTTTGTTCTTTGCTCGATTGCCAGTACTGCTGAGAAGTGAACCTTCCTGCAGAGACCTAAAATTATATATTTTATATATTTCTTTTTTAAATTCTCTGGACTGATCCTTTTACCGTTGTAGAATTTAAACCTATGAATAAATGAATCTGAGCTTTAAATAACGTTAGGTGTCTAGTGGCATGATTTCCCACCCCACCTCCCCCCTTCGTATGATATGTACCAGTAAAGTCCCAGATTGACTTTTTTTTTTTTTTTTTTTTAATTCTTTATTTTATTTGTGCATGAAAAATCACATATAGCACACCAAGCCACAACAGCCAGGGCATGCAGAGTCAAACAAAGATTTGCATTAAGTAGACAGGGGAAAAAACTTTGCACTTTTTTGTTTTAGATTATTATCGCTTGACACACATATTGTACATAAACAGGCTTACTAAGAACAGGTTGAACATAGATAATTTCTAACTGCGTTGCCTTAGATTATTAAAGATTAGTGGATCTCGAAGTATGCTTGAAAAACTTTGCACATTTTTGGATTATTATCGCTTGACACACATTTTATACAGAAACCGGCTTGCTACACAGATAATTGGGCTTCTCTATAAACATGCTTGATAATTATGAGTGATAAGAGTTGTGTATAGTTAGAGTCCTGCTTATGTATGGTAACCATAGCACCGTTGGTCTGGGTTGGCTACACGCCAGGTGGGCCCCGTCAGCACAGGTAGAGGTGATAAATGGCGTGGGGGTTGCAGCTGGGTAAAGAGTGGTGGGTGCTCTCCGGGCTGTGTTTAGTCCCAGGGTCGGTTCATGCCAGGTAGGTCATGTGAGGCAGGGTCTTTGAGTCCCGGTGTGGGCTAGAATGGGGCCGGAGCAGGGTGTCGCCAGGTATCTTGGCTGCCTTGGCATGCTTTGCGTCGGCGCTTGTCGTGTGGTTGTCTCCCCTGCCCTGTCTGCATCAGGGTTGTGGCTGTGGGATGGTGCCACTGACCTTTCCAGCTACCGGTTCTCCGATGTCTGCCTCTGCCTCCTAGCAGCTTGCTCTTGTGTAGTTTAAGGCTGCGTTGCCGATAGGGGACTTCCCGGTTCTGCCCGCCGCCATTTTAAGTGAGCGGAGTGCTGCTGCTTCCTCCCGCCCGCTCCCGTCTGGCAGGGCTTGTTTGCAGGTGTTTGGGCTTGTAGGGGTGCCATGGTGGACCGTGATGACCCCCAGCGGTCCAAGGGGGGGGGGGAGAGATTCTGCGTCTGCAGGACTTCGGGACTGGAGGACCGGCCGCGTCCCCAGCCCCGCATCAACCGCTAGGCCGCAAGTCGGACCTGCCTTGGCTAGTGTCTCCTGGGAGCCTGTGATGCCTCTGTCCCGTTCCCACCAGTAGCTCTGTGGAGTGAGTGAGCGTGAGACCCATTTAGCTTGTCTGGGTCGGGGTAAGGGGGGCTTAAAGTCGGCTGTTTGGTGGGAGCTCTGGATGCTTGCGACTGCTCCGCATGGCGGTCAAGCTCCGCCCCCCCCCAGATTGACTTTTTTAATGTGTGTTTGGTCACTTTTTTACTTAGCTCCTTTACTGTACCTTTAAATATTCTGATATTTGTTTCACTGCCAGGAATTTAACCCTTTCTAATTCACTTGTACCCTGAACCTTAAAATCTCATTTACTTGTTCCCTGAACTTTATCATGTGATATTTTGTATACACAAAATCAAATTGCAATGATTTCATATTCAGCTGTTTCCAGTACAAAATTACCGCACATTTTAGTGTATTCTCATCAATATACAGCTGTTTGTTTTTTTACAGCATTGACAAAATAGATTTTGGTAATTCAGTAATTTCACACATCACAAAATGATTGTTTTTTTCATCAATTTATTTACAAAAGACTTTGCAAGTATAAAAAATATATATATACACAACAATACAGGTTTTTAGAGTCTCTAAGATGGATCATCAACATTGAAGATTTCAGGATCTGACACCCTGAAGGGACACTTCTTCTTAAGGTTAATTAAGGTATATTGTCAGCATTATTTGGCATACATAAGTCTTCACAGATGAAAAGGAGTGAGCACACTGCACCTGTCTGACGCATTTCACAATTAGAACAGGCATTTCACAAATATAGCACTTGACCTTCACAAAAAGACCTTGAAATTTTCTGATGTTGGAAGATCCTCTGAGGATAGACTAATGAAACATTAAATATTCAGTGCAATTTTAGCTTTTTATAGGGATGCCAAACATTCCCCACCCTAAAAAAAAACAGTAATATATTCACTGCACAATGAAAAGCCCTACATTTAAGGGATGCGTAAAAAAAAAGGAAGACCAAATCTCACCATAATCAGAATTGTACAAACATCTGTAGATAAAAAGAAAACAGGGCAATTAATTATTTGTGTTGCTTGGTGACCAACTCTGGTCGTAAGCAAATAGTGTATAGGAGAGTTAAAGGACATACTCGTTTTTCTGGCACTATAGTGCCTTGAGGGTGCTCCCACCCTCAGGGACCCCCTCCCGCCGGGCTCCGGGGAGAGGAAGGGGTTAAAATCTTACCTTTCTCCAGCGCCGGGCGGGGAGCTCTCCTCCTCCTCTCCTCCTCCATAGTGACATCATCGGCTGAATGCGCATGCGCGGCGGGAGCCGCGGGTGCATTCAGCCAGTTCATAGGAAAGCATTTACAATGCATTTACATTGATTTTCACAGTGAGAAGCACGCAAGCGCCACTAGAGGCTGGATTAACCCTATTATAAACATAGCAGTTTCTCTGAAACTGCTATGTTTATAAAAAAAAGGGTTAATCCTAGATGGACCTGGCACCCAGACCACTTCATTAAGCTGAAGTGGTCTGGGTGCCTATAGTGGTCCTTTAAGTGTTATGTGTTTTCCACAAGCTAAACAAGATTCCCAATAAGATGTTCTGATCATATCACATCCTATCAGGGACATTAACACCATATTGTACAGGGTTACTTACTAGAATTTAAAGTGAATTTCAAATTTAAGGTCAGATCGAGAAGCCGACCTGAAAACAAAACTGAGAATTTTTCTAGTTAAACTATTTCAACCTTAAAGGAACAGTATACTATCAGGGATAGAAACATGTATTCCTGACATTGTCGTGTTAATCTAACTATTTAGGTCTTCAGCCCCCTTGCACTGCATAGGAAAGGTGATTTTACGAGGCTGGCTCCACCTCCATAGGTGAGATCATCAAACTTTGGGAGGCTATTGCGCATGCGTGGCACAACGCAACCCTTCACCAAACAGCATCTCCTCACAGAGATCCATTGAATGAATGCAGCTCTATCTTTTCTCTGAAAAGCCTGCAGAAACAGCCTATAGACACCAGAACCACTACATTAAGTTGTAGTGGTTCTGGTGACTATAGTGTCCCTTTAAATTTGAATTCACCCTAACTTCTCACTTTAGTGAATAACCTTACATATTATATTTCAGGGGAGAGAAAATGGGATATTGTATCTATGACTTATCACAGAAAGCGGACATAGATCTTGTTTACATGCTCCACGGTAATACAGAATAAGTGCACCCATCTATGACATTTATATAGTCTGTAAAAGAGCATGTTGGAAATCCAACGGGGAGAAATCTGTGCCAGGTCATAGTTCTCTTTGGATTCTTGTGTCATGTTAATACCCTTCATCCATTATAATTATGCCAGTTGGTAGGGCCAGCAGCATTGACTTTAGCAATGGGATAAGATACTAGATCCATGGTGGGAACAATGAACCCACAGGGTATTTTTCTCAGATGCCCAAATGTTAGCACAGATCTTTGCTCTGACTCATCCGTGTCATAATTACACGGCACATGGATCCCAGTTAATTATTCTTTAGTGTAATTTTATTTAAATAGAGTGCCACGTAATGAGTGGATGGAGTCAAGTCATTTAATACATATTTGGCAATATGTTTTCCTCCCATTGTGTATAGGGAATTATTTTGTGCCCTCTACCTGTTAATGGAATTAAACAAAAACAAAACAAAAAAACTAAACTTACATGTACCATGCAGATTTACTAGGTGACTTTGTTTGTTTGTGATTTGAACAACCATGCTAAATAAATGCGTAATGAGATAGGTTTTGTTCCTACGTGACAACCATTTCTGCACTGCAGAACATGTAGCATAAATAAAAATAAATTACATCAAGAATTAAACATCATAAAAACACACATTTAGCACAACTCTAACACTATTTTTAAAACAAAAAATCAGTAGTAAAATATTCAAGTATCTCATAAATTGTAAAATGTATTTTCAATTTTAAAGGGACAGTATCCATTGTTGAGTTTTGTTTGTTAAACTTTGTTTTTTATAGTTATAACAAACGCCCAGTTTTCTTTTTTTTTGCCTTACTGTGTACAATTTGGCAGGCATACGAGCTACCCTACTCCTAGTTCACAAAACAATAAGAGCTGTTCCTCTACCTGTCGCTACAGCTGACATACCAAACTATAATTCTACAGCTGCTATCAAACTACAATGCCCATAACCCTCTTTGAAGCTGCAGCTGGCAGAGTATTCTGTGAATTCATGTAAAATAAAGGGGGATGGTTATATATCAACAACTTAGAGGAACACTTAAGTCACTCACACCACTTCATCTCAATGAAGTGGTAGTGGTGTAGTGGCCCTGCAGTTTTCACCCTGCAATGTAAGACATAGTGGTTTTGTTGAAACGGCAATGTTTACATTACAGGGTTAAGCACACTTTTAGTGTCTGTCTTGCTGATTGCCACTAGAGGTGCTTCCTCTAAAATGAGCAAGTGAAACTCTGTCACATGTTGCTGCAACTCATAGGAAAGCTCTCCTATGAGAAGCATTTGGATGCATGCGCGGCACTCACTGCGCATGCGCATCATCTCCCAATGCTCTTCTACGAGGAACATTGCATTGAACCATTTGCTTGAGAGTCTCTACTTTTTCTAATGCATAACTGAAAAACTAAGGTAAATTTAAAAAAAAACTAAACCAAAAACAAGGAGAAATAGACAGAATAAACAAGATTAATTTAAAAACAAAACCTGCAAAGTGACAGGGTTGCTTCTGTGACATGAATCACTCAGGACAAGAGCATCTACTGAATAATTCTAGGTTGATTGAACCGAGTGGTTCATAACCCAGATCCCACAGCACACCAACAGCCCAGAATTAAGGCATTTCCCAATTCAGCTCCAGTAGGGATACTGACAAAACCTGGGCTGTTCCACACCTTGAAGCTTATAATGGGAACCACTGGAAGATAACCACACCACTGCGGTCTCTCATATTGTTTGAGCAGAGACCAGATCCTGTTGATCCCACTGCAGTGATTGGAAAATGTTGGAAATACCTCTTATCCCCCTTAACAATTAACTGCTCTGTTGCACCGCTATATGGTTAGATATATTTCCAGAACTAATAGGTGTCAACATACCTTGGTGAATTCACTCAATCCACGTTCTTGTAATCAAAGTACCTTGGAGTGACCTCCACTGGGCATAGAGTCTTGGTATGTCCAAGGTATTGTGCCACATTGAAAATAACAATATATTGAATATCAAGGTTACTGTCCCTTTAATAATTTGAGGTCATTTACATGACCTTAACCTACAGTGAATGTTATTAAGTATTTTGCATATTTCTTTGGAAACCTTTAATAATCCCACTAATAAATGGATGTTCCTATACTTGATGTAAATCTGCATGGACACAAACTTTCTACACTTATTTTAGATAGGGCTGGGCTACTCCTCATCAGTCCATCATTTTCTGGGTGCATATTAATGTACAGCAGCTGTTATAATTCGTGCGATCATGGCCACCTAGATTGTGTGCATGCGCCCTCACATTCACACCTTAAAGAGACGTCCCACAGTCAAACTGTTCTCCCATTTTCTTTCTGCATTATGCAGATAGTGCATTAAAATGTGCAACAACAAAAAAATAACACAAACAAACTTTACAATATACATTACAAAAATCTCACCCGTAAAGCATTTCACCTGCCCGCTATCTTCCCTCATATCGCTCACATTAAAATCAGCAAGGAAGTAGCTGAATTTCAGCCAATCAGTGCTATGTCGCACAAATGTACGAAGCATGCAATATAATTGATTTCAAACTCTAAAACATTAATCGGAATATTTACATTCCAAATTTTCAACTTACTGGAGGTACCAAAATTGTGTACCAAAAGTGACCTATTTGTAAATTTAGATGTGTTCGTTTGTACCCTTGGCGTTAAACGTTAGGCCAATCATCATCTAGGTCATGGACCTGCTTACAAAACAACATATCTCAGTGCCATATCAAATTGTGATAGACATGGCTATTTTTGTGTATTTTCTCTGCTGTTAATCACCAGTTCTTTCCCTTGAAAAGGGCAATTTTAAAATTTGGATTTTCACTACAGATAAGTGCTGTAGTCTGTCTAGACTGATTTTGCTCTTGATTTCGTAGCTGACACATTTGAGCTTAAATGCTTAGTCCTGAGATATTTGGATTCTTCTGTTGTCTAAGAAGTCACCACATCTGATAAAATGTTATTCGATGCCTCGTCACTTGCCAAGGAAGTTTCAGAGTGAAGTAGGAAGTTAGTTAGTTTGTTGACTTTGTGTTACAGTTCTTTCCCACATTCAAAGCTGTCCTTAATTTTAAAACTATTCATTTTACTTCAGCTTTGGTTAAGCAAAGTTTAATCTTGGTTCCTTCAGCTTCTCTGCAGTGCTTGTTGGAACTTGGTTGCTCCATAAACTGAAAGATATAAAAAATGGTGCATTTAAACTTTCTCTTGACTCTGAGCTGCTATGTGGGTTTTTTAATTTTTATGGATATAAATAGTTATAATGCAATTGTATAACAAGACAAGAGTGTTATTAAATGCCACAACCGTAATAAAGTGAATCGAGGGAATTTCTATCCAAAATGCTGGAGACATCAGGAGTTGTTATGATGCCTCTTTACTGTGGCCTCCATCCTTCTGGTGTTCGGGTAACACCCGGCTAGAGCTGCAGCCAGTGAGGGGATGTGCCAATCAACAGGAGGGGCAATACAAGACTGGGCATGGGAGGTGGGTAACCAGGGTAAGCAATGGGAGAAGGGGCAGTGAGTGAATGCTCAGGTTACTGACTAGGATAATGGAAGTAGAGGTAGTAAATGTGAGTGACTACTCAGGGCAGTTAATGGGATGGAGTGAATGGGAGAAGTAGCAGTGAATGGTCAGGTGTCACAGATTCTAACGCTAATATGCAGAGTATGAATCCACCCTGGCTAAATCAAGAAAAGGAACAAATAACTGGTCCTTAGAGATGGCTTAAAGCACCATTAGCTTAATGGAGGGGTTTTGGTGTATAGATCATGCCCTTGCAGTCTCGCTGCTCAATTCTCTGCCATTTAGGAGTTAAATCACTTTGTTTATACAGCCCTAGTTACATATCACCTGATTGTGACTTACACAGCCTCCCTACACATTTCATGTAAAGTGAGATCTAACATTTAAACTTCCTTTACTGCACAGTCTGTTTCATTTAGAATCTATTATATCCTGCTCTGTTAATGGCCAACAGCAGCTTCCTGTGTGTGATTAAATTTCAATTTACAGAGCAGGAGATAGCACCTTCTAAAGTAAGTCAATATCTGATTGAAAATGAAACCATTTTTTTTCATGCAACCTGTGTGAGTCACAGTCAGGGGAGGTGTGGCTAGGGCTGCATAAACTGAATCAACAGTGATTTAACTCCTAAGTGGCAGAGAATTGAGCAGTGAGACTCCAGTGGCATAATCTATACACCCAAACTGCTTCATTAAGTTAAAGTTGTTTTGGTACTTAGAGTATCCCTTTTACATTAAACAGAGAAATAAAATAACGTCAAACAAGCCAAAGTCAATGTAAACTCGAGATCAGACAAACGAGATAACAGAGCCAGATTATGGGTACCAGAAATCAGAATAGTCAATGGATGTTCAGCATCATTAAAATGACACATTACTGGATCCCTATAAATGGATGCGTATATGGTGGTTTCGGGATCAAAAATGACTCCACAGTTTGACATGGTGTCGGGCACAAAAAGGACGCCCGGCATCAATAATGATGCAAGAAAGACGTGCAGCGTCAGGATGAGAAGAGGAATGATGCAAGTTAGGAGAAAAGCTGCAACCATAAACAGGTAACCTTACATCAAGGCACTGACTGGAGAAAGGGCATTAATATGCTCAGGGAACTGACTGGGAGAAGGGGAAGTCAATGTGAATAAACACTCAGCAGGGCACTATCTGGGAAAACAGGACAGTGAATGAATGGGGCACTAACTGGCAGAAGGGAATTATTTGAGTAATTTCTAATTTAGCACTTAGAGAAAAGATGGTTTTGAACCGCAGATTGGGCACTAATGATGTCAACAGCAGTTAGGGCTCAAAAAAGGTTCGCCATCACTACTGTAGGCACTATAACCATTTAATCTCATTGAATTGGTTATGTATTGATACAGTCCTCTGTCCAATTAAAAACACTTAACTTACCAGCTATCACACACAGGGTTTAAACATTAACATTTCTAGGATCGATGGGTAGTTTTAGCCATGATACTCTCCCCCCATCCTGTTTTATGGTCTGTCTGCATCACATCCATGACAAGAACTGCTCATGATTCTACTGTTTAACCCCTTAAGGACCAAACTTCTGGAATAAAATGGAATCATGACATGTCACACATGTCATGTGTCCTTAAGGGGTTAAAGGCTAAACTGGGGAGAGGTAGTGCCCTGATACGGTGCATCAAAGCAAGTTAGAGATGTATTGATAAAGGCTGAATGAATGGAGTTTACTAATAATAATGATAACATGAGAAGTGTTTTTCACTCACCAGATTAATTTTATCCAGGAACAGACACTGAGTTCCTCTGCTATGGCTTCAGCTCCCCGTTCTTGTATTTGGTTTTTTCCTAGGCTTTAAAATGAAATACAGAGAGGAAAACATTTAACGGACATAATGGCAACCACTTCTATAGCATCTACACCTCTTCTGTGTAATGAATGTTTATACTAGTTAAATATGTTGTGCAAGGGATGTAGGATGTAAGAGAACAAATGAATATTTTTTTCATGTACCATTTTTATAGCACCTACTTTATAATCTATAGTTTAAATTTGCCGATGTTACTTACTCCATCTTCTTAAGCATCTTCATATGCTTTAATGCACATGCCAATGCACATGCTCCTTCATCCCCAATGGTATTCCATGATAAACTAAATAAAAAATAAAAAAACATTACAGTTGCATGATGGCATCTTAATTTACTAAAGGGACAATCCACTGCCCAAATACAACAAATACAAAACAAATAAAACTATTTAGACTCTTGTCTGCAGCCTTTACCTCCCCTTTTAATCCCTTACCGTCTTAAATCTTAAAGGAACAATCCACTTTCCAAAAAACCCTCCCCAAAAACTATTTAGTAGTTAAACCCACAATTAAAACATGCATGCATTTAATTATGCATTTTTCATTGGGGTATATCTGAAAACAGCTTGCAAAAGCTGCAGATCTCTTGTCTGAAGCCATTGCAAGCCCTCCCCTTCTAACCCCGCCCAGACTTTCTGTGACTGTCCAATCACAGACTGCCCAATGAAGCTCAGTGAGAAGTCTGTGCAAGGCAAGTGCTCTAAACAAGCCTGCCTTTTGAGTTTAGGTCCACTGAGCTAAACTAACAGATAAGAAGGGGACTAGTGTCTGATCGACAGCCAAGGAGGTATGTGGGGCAATGTTAATTTATAAAAACTGCAATTTCTATTGAGATCTGCAATTTTTGTAAAATGAAAGAAAGAAGAAGGCTCTTCACACAGAAATCACTACAGCAAGCTGAGATGTTTTAAGGGTGTGGAATGTCCCTTTAACAAACGCCACACAAAATCTAATACTGAGGATCAACTTAATGCCTCAGTACAGGCACATGATACTATTATTCTCCGTTAACAGTATGTTTATATTATATCAACAGTATACAATTCTGGATATATTTTCAGTGGCAGTGAGCTCAATCAATGATGACTTTTCATACATACTTGACTTCTTCCAGGTGTAGACAGCACCGAAAGCCAGATGCAAGAGAAGTGCACACCGTGTCAGATATTCCACACAATCGCAAGCTGGGGGGAAAGCAATTCACAATGAGTGGCCGATCAAGTTTAAAATCTATGTCTTCATTTTGTTTATTTTTCAACTATGTCTCATCATCACTCACAGGCCAACTCATTGTTTATGAGAATTCCCTATAATTAATCTTTTTTTAATACTTTTTTTAGTAGTCAAATGTTTTTTATTTGGTCACATACGAGAACCAGATAAGAAACTCTATATTTCCCTAGATGAAGATAAAAGATATTTATCACTGCCATTAGCCATTGGTGACTGCCGAACACAGGTCTAGCTGGTCTATTAGGTGAACCTAGGCAGTCACCTAGGGTACAAAGGTCCTTAGGATGCATCATGAGTATGTAGGTAAAACCTGAAGCTGCTGACATTAATAAACCACAGGCAGACTAGACTATGAGGAGCCAGGCAAGGCCTAAGCAGAACAGGAACATGTGAGTGTGAGGGTATTGTAGAGTACAGAGGGATGTGGTAAAGTGGCCCTGAGACAGGAAGTGGAGTAGTAAGGGGTAGATGGGTGGGATTGTATAAATAGGTTGCCATCTTACAGGATAGCAGCCATCTTAATTATTGGTGTGAGGAAGCATTCTCAAGTTGTCCAATCGCAGCCTGCTTTGTAAGACCATGAGAACATAGTCCCTCTCGAGTACCAAGCTCTGTGTTCTTGTTGGCCATAGCTCTGAGATAGCGAGTGATGCTGTGACGTTCATTATATGAATTGAATGCAGATTGTTCAAGGCAATGATCTGAGCAAGTTTAGGGGTGGGAGGGGCAACACGGAGCTCTCAACAGTGGTTCTGGAGCCAGGCAGAAGTGGCCCCTCAGCCCCCTTTAGTTTCAGTATAAAAATCCCGATAATTTTTTTACTGAATTAATTTTTTTGTTTGGTTGAAAAATATCTTCCCCTTAACTTTTTTTTGTTTTTGTTTATGTTCCACATTTTCATTGTCACTGTTTTATTGTGGATAGTTAAAGAGGCAGCTTTCAGAAGCTGGAAATGCTTATTCCTTTGGTGAGAGATTTCCAACTTTCGGATGGGAAGAGGGCAGTTCCAAGAAAAATACAGAAGGGCAAACTTTTATGGAACTTTATAATGGGGGTGCAACTGTCAGGAAATTGACTTCTGTGTTTGTGGAGTAACCAGCCAGAGGGTGAGCAGAGCAACATTCTAACACTAACACACTTCTCCTGCTTAGAGAAGAATATGGAGGCTGGACAATTCAAAATGAATAAAAAAAGATATATCACTCACTCAATCTTCCTTAGGCGGTGAAAATGATGAAGTTCTTCTGCTAGTTTCAGTAAACTCCTTTCACCTAGGGTGTTAACCGCCAAACTTCGATAGAGAAAAAGAAAGGCACAGATGAGGCGTAAAAGAGATGCTGACTAGAGTACTGAACCAATTGTCATTTTCATTTTTTAAAGAGTAACCATCACTTCTAAAATATTCTGTGGCATTATGCAATGATATCACATTCCAGTTAAGGTTCAAGCACAGCCAGGGTACATAATACAAATAAGGAGAAAAAAAATCTGTTTAACATCTTCAAATAACTATGTTCAATGGCAAAAAAGGTAACATTTAACCCCGTTAAGGACCAAACTTCTGGAATAAAAGGGAATCATGACATGTCACACGTCATGTGTCCTTAAGGGGTTAATGATGATTAACATTGAGCCGCCCAGTGAGATGGAGGTATGCAGTTCCAGAATAGAGATGAATGCAACAGTGTGGATTTCTGAATTTAAAGGAACACTCTCACTCTGTAAAGTGCTAATTTACAAAATGACATTATAGCATACATCTATACATGTGCTAGAATAATTGCAAAAACCTATATCCAGAAAGCTTAAATAATTTTTTTTGTGTTTTATCCACCAGTTGTAAACATGGGTGGGTTGGCAAAGCTGACAATTGCCCCCAGGCTACTAGTGTACAGGCTCAGTAGGCTGCAGCCTCTAAGCACCATTTTTTTACCGATTAAAGCAACTGAATTTGCAATGGGATGCCTTTAGCAAAGTACTGTAGAAGTGGGGCAGCAAACAGGAATTGTGCTGGGCATTAGCCTAGCACTGTGCAGGTGTGTGCTTGTGCTGGTGGCCCATAACCTGTCTGGTCCCCATGGCTAAACTGTTTTTCTACAATTTTTCACTGAGTCTGCAATATCTGGGGCTGATTGCCAGCCTATTAAGAGTCTGTATGATATTGAGGTGTTTGCAAGTAGCTGTGGGTCGAAATGAGCCATTGGTGTTAATGGAGCCTTGGGAAACAGAATTAATCATTGAGGTGTGCAGAGATTTTTGTGAATGCTGCACATGTCATACTGATGCAGGATGCAGGGACATATGATGTCACAGTGAGTGCCCCAGCAGCCTCCATCTGCCAAGCCCATATAGCAGAGATGGCTAAGCTTTGGTACTTACTTGGGATTGCTGTACAGAGCAGTGGAATAAATTTGCTTTATTGAAAAATAAAAAAGTGAGCAGAGGTCTGCACAGTTTGAATGTCATCACTGTTGTATAGCAATGACCTACCACATGGTAGAATAATTCACTTGGATACATAATTATATGATGAGGTCATGCACAGAGGTAGAGCCAATTAATCAAAAACGCTTTTCATTTTGATTAATGCCTTTTCTTGCTAATCTGCTACCACAATGTATATTGTGTATGGATGACAAAAACTGTTTTATGAAAGACACATTGGCTCATCTTATGCATATTACTTTCTTTTATTTCCTCAGCAGAAAAGAAAGAATTGTATATAATTAATAAGCAATAAAAAAACAACATACTATTATAGAAAGCAATAAGGACATTCCATTGCACATATTCCCCCATGTGACCCTAAGCCACTTTACTTTCTTATGGTGCTGCCCCTCAGGTAAGTACCTTACATCTGGCTCTGTCAACTTTGTGCCTCATTTTTTTTGTAACCAGATTTTGTTAGTTTTATTCTGTTTCCTTTCCCCTGCATGCACTACTCTGACCCTGCTTGCCAGTCCTTTCAAAATAGGCGCATTGATCGAGCCACTCGTTCATGTGCATTCTGTAACACATTGTTTTGGTGACCAGTTTTTCTGCGCTTCTCCCTCTCCTCGTGACGCTCGTTCTAGCATGCAAGCATCCTGATTGGCTGCTCTTGTAGCTAGTTAGCTTGCCTAAGTCCCCCTCAAACCATTCCTGAGAGAACGCTCGGTGAGCTAGCCCATGCTTTATACTGGCTGTGCAATTTGGTTATCTATGCTGGCTACTTGTGAGTGCCTGATCACTACTTGTTTTTTCCTTAACCCGTCTACTCACTTGTGGATTGGTTAAGGGCAGGCATATCAAAATCTATTATTGTTCACCTCTGCTTTCTGCCCATTACCTGATATTGCCCTTTCTGCTGGGCATGAACCCTACACTTAATGTTTAATCCTGTCAGTTTTTGTTTCGTCTGCATACCCTGTATTATGCAATCCTCTTTTGGCCAGAAGATGTCCACTGCTGGACTTTCTATTAGCTCTGCTAAGCCTCCCTTACCCCTTGCCCAATCTTTGCTCTCTGCGGATAAACTGGCCTCACAGGAATAAATGAATACTATTAACTACTCGACGCCATAATGGCCAAATCGGTCACACAGGGGATATATCTCCATGGCAGTGATGTCAGATAATCTCTCTCACTCCATTAGTGATATGTTTATTTTGTTTTAGCTTGAGGTCCTGTTTCTGATACCAATAACCCTGTTTTATTCAGCTGAGTAATTGACTTCTCCTTGACTCTCCTTATTATCATCTTTGGCCTTTGTCTTCTGTCTTCACCATGCATTATTGTTATTAATGTTTACGTTTGCATGAGTATTTTTGATGGTATCATCAAGAAAGAGGAGTATCTCGGGGTCACATGGGTGAATATGTGCTGAGGGATGTCCTTATTGCTTCCAGCAAAATTATGGTTATCCATTGCTAAGGTTATCAATTTTTTTTGGTTTCTTATTAATGATATACAATTCTTTCTTTGCTGCTGAAGAATTGAAAGAAAAAGAAAAGCATAATATGAGCCTCTGTGTCTTTAATAAAATCATGACTTTACGTCATGTTAATAGTAACATCTGGTAATTGTATGTGATGAACCAGATAGCTTTCTTTACAGCCAAGTAAACACCTTCTATAACTCTGCTCTTCGATATAATGCATGTAAGAAGGGACAATCTTCACCAAGTGCTTTGTCTTGCCCCGATGGTCATAGAAGAAGAATTGAGTCATCTTTTCTATTGACACAAACTTGCTCAGTCATGGCTAATGAGAGATTAGAGAGACCGAGTCTATTCCTGCACTTCACATGCCAGAGACACAGCCATTTGTATAACACGGATACACATGCTGGTTATTTAAGGACAGGCACTGAGAATTATCCTCCGGGGCAGTATTTAATGCAGTATAATTCAATAAGACATTTTGATACATTTACCTGATGTCTTCAATCTCTTGACAGAGGACCAAAGCCTGAACAACAGCATATCCATGGTTTTCTGGCAAGCTGCAGGATTGCAGGCTGGAGATGTAGTGTAAAGTTAGGGTCAAAGAGGCAAAGGCAAATATTTCTTCATAATTAGTCAAGCGTAATCCCATACAGAATTAAAATCTTTCTTCACAATTAATTACTTTTTTTTCACAATTAATCAAGCATAATCAGAAAATATAAGAATCAGCAACACAAAGAGCATGTGATTTGCACATGCAGAATACATTATTGTTATTGTTCTTGAATTATGCATTGAGAATAATAACAGTGAATGTAAACCAGACGTCTGTAAAAATACTTTTTCAGCTGGGACGATCAAGTCAAATACCTTCTTAATCTTCACTCGAACGTATCAATCCATCCAGGAGTTGTTTACCAGTGAATTCTTATTCAAGGGATTGATAGATAGATCGATTGGTTTTGGCATAGATTAAAAGGTATTTGCAAACATTATGTTTTATGTGATGACGACACCTTCTGTAAAGGTTGACGTGACTGTCTCTAAAATAAGAGTTTAAATAAAATTAAAAAATGCCTTTGAATTGTCCGTCTTAGCTGAAAAGCATTTCTTCCAAAAGATGGATGGAGAATGAGAGTTAAAGGGTCATGTATTACTTTGAATCACATGGATACAACTTTCGTATTTAAAAGATTCTGTTTTAAATAAGACAGTTCCCTCACTCTGGAGGTTGGGAAAAAAAAAGCAGGTAATGATTTTTCCCCCTCCCATACGTACCTGCTTCTTTCTCATGCTTTCCACACCAACTCCAGGGTGGACACTGATCTAACAAACCAGTGGCTTATCCCTAGGAATGCTGGAAAAGTGCATTGTGCATGCCTAACAGATTTACACATGCGCAATTGGAAAATGTCTTCACCAACAACATCCTGACAGGGAGCGAAGAGAGGGAGTCTCATCATGCAGAGCTGCTTAATGATACCCTGTTTCTGTCATTAGTGGACTGGTCTGAAACTGAGATGTGTGGGTAAGAGGGCAGTGGGGGAGGACGGAGAAACTCCCCTAGCTGAGAGGCGTGGTCAACAATGCAATCAAACAAAGTTCATAGTAAGTAAAAGTAGCACAACGCTCTCCCCCAAATAATTTGTATTTTGTTAGGATAGAATCTTTATGAAATACTTATATAGACTGTGTTAAAATTTCACTGAAATTCCAACCCAATAAACAAATATACAGAGAAAAAAGAGGAACTACTTTGTCTCAGTATATTTCCCACGCCTGACACCAGTGGTGGTTACAGGGAATTGTCTTTCTATATGGAGGATCTTGCGGGATCTCCCATAGATCTCAATGCTGTACTCTCGTGCATTGGCCTCTGGTGCTTCAGACAAGGACCAGCTGGAATAAGATGTGCGAGGGACAGGTTCAGATAAGTTAAACTTACTTTTCCCTTCCAACCTGCCTGGGAACCCCAGTGACGATGTCACCAATAAATGGTCTTTGCAAAATCTCTCTTTATTTTGTTTTGTACATTTGTTTAAAACTGTTTCCTTGCTGGTTTAAAAAAAATAATTGGCACTTTTAAGGACTTTAAGGGAGGCAGCATCCCATGTGTTCCCTATTAAGGGTTAATAAGTATGTAGGGTGTATATAAAAAATACCCCTTTCTGTCTCATTAGAGATATCTTTGCCAGAAGGTCACGGAAGCAAGGTGAATGGTCAGTGTAGGACCCGCCTAGGGGGCGACTGCCTTGACGTTGGCAGGTGGGCATATCCTCTCATGGCCATTGGAGTAACTAAATGACCTCCATTTGTTTAAATATAATATTAAGGAGAGAGCGCAGGCAACTTTTTTCCTTTGGTTTTTACTATATGTATTGGAGCTGATGTGTACTGTGGTCGTTGCTGCCGCCCAGAAGTGATGGGAGTGAGCATAGGACTTTTCTTTTTGTATTTAAAAAAAAATAATTGGCACGTTTAAGGACTTTAAGGGAGGCAGCACATCACGCATTAAGGGGGGTCAGCAGATTCAGCTGCAAAAGCTCCACGATATACGCATTTCTGTGTATGTTTGTATGAATGAGTGAGTGAGTGTGTGTGCATGTATGTGTGTGTTACAGATATGTGCATTTGTGTTTGGAAGTAGTAATATATATGTGTGGTGATTGGTGAGTTATGTGTGAGGAGTTAGCTATGTGTGATGGTATTTGACGCAGCATGGGTGAGGGGGCAGTAATTGGGTTTTAAATGCAGGCAGCAAAATGTCTTGGTCCAACACTGATTCGTACAGTGATGACATCCAAACTGCTCTGTCTATAATGTAGATTATCTTACGGTTATATGTAGAATATAAAATACACAGACTAACCTTCTATAAAACAGATAAACAACACACTACACATCATGCTGTGACGTTGTGCAGCATTAGGGTTAATGGAACTCCAAGTCACAACGACAGCAGCCTAGTACGGAATCCAGTCTGCACTTGGCAATAGCATAGGTCAGCACACAGGATATTAGCTCTGGCAATAACAGCTAACAAAATAAAATGTTCTTTTCACTTGCTGCTAAAAAGGAAGTTGCCATAGCAACCTGTCACTGCCTGTCTGTATATACTCCTCATTAGTGATGTCATCAGATGCCCTAGGACTGTGAACCCATGAAATAAACAGCATCTGACACTGGCGAGCCGCTAGAAAATGTGTGGGATGCACGAACGGCCCAGCGGTGACACAGACTATAACAAAGTGTCACCAGGAAACCAATTCAGGAAATAGTCATCAGGAACCCCAATAAACACACGCTAAGGCTGCAACATGTGCATTAATTTATAGGCACAAATTATATTTCCATAAAATTACATGTTCGTGACTGCTGCATCCTGGAATGCATTTCTTTGTGTGGTAGAGCGTAGAATTCTAATCTCTCCAGCCTCTCTCAGAACATGAAAGTAGTGGCACAGGTAACGCCATATTATAATATTAGTATTAGAATATGAACCACATATCCATTAGTATATAAAACACTGTCCTTACTCTATAGATCTAAAAATAATAATATAAAATATTGTATGTGTAGAAATGTGCTGCTATCCCTTTTGGTAAACTGATAGCAAAATATGTAAAATAAATGAAAAATAAAAACATTAAAATACTATTAAATAATAATTTATGATATTTAAAAAAAAATTAAATTAAATCTATTTAAAAAAAAATATATATATATTTTTGCCATGTAGTCCTTAGATAAGGCTTGGATCAGGCAGAATGAGTGTAAATGCACAGAAAAATAGATCTATGCCCATTTATTTGACATTTTATTTGAAATGCAATGTGCACATTTTTCAAGTGCCTCCTATCCTAAAGAGGCTCTGTGTGACAGACAGCTATATGGATCCCACTTATCGGGGAAAACATATAAATTACCTGATCTGTGACTGAGGGTGAAGGGATATAACCTTTCAGACAGTGCAGGCTAGGAATCATGTAGACTTGTCAAAAGAATTTTACATTTTACACCAAAACAGCAGAGATGTAAAAATGTTTCAGTACTCAAGTATAATTTGCACCTCAATCAGCCTAGGCATATAGTTGCTCTAAAAAACCATCAGAATTGAAAAATAGCTTAAAATGAACACTTAGCTCATGTGTAACATACATTGCCGGTTGGTAAATGGTAACAATCAACTTACTGTAACATCTCCAGTTGCTTACACTGTCTGATAGCTTCCTCAAGCTTCATTGCTCCTGATGGGCCGATCTTATTCTGAGACAAACTATAACATTAAAATCATAGTGTCAGTACTTTGAACCACAGACTGCTGCAGTCCTCACAATGTTCTGTAGGTCCAAAGTGTAACAGAACAGGAGTTGGAGTTTAACTAGACGCAGGCATAGGCAACCTTCTGCACTCCAGGTGTTTTGGACTACACCTCCCATCATTTGCCAGCATTATGGATGTAAGAGGATTATGGGGGATGTAGTCCACAGCATCTGGAGTGCCAAAGGTTGCCTATCCCCGATGGTAGGGAGTAGTGGTTCAGCTGGAAGGCTTTTACATGTAGGCATTAGAGGGAAACAAGGCAAACAGAAACAAAAGCAGACAACGGTATGATAAAGGATAACGGAGGGAAAGAGAATAGATAGAAAAGGGATTGGTATTATTCGGATTCTACAATATATTTTGGTATTTATATCACAGTTTTTTTTTAAAATAAATTTGTGTTGTGTCCTTTTTGCAGGGGTTAAAGTGCTATTTGTTCTAATTGAAGTAGAGTTCTCCCTTGTTTGAAAACTTGAGCAGTATGGAGCCCAATAGACGGACTTCCAAGATGCCAAGGCACACTAACAAGTTAATGTCATGGAGCTTACATAGAATGTGACGGCAGATAAGAACCATTCGGCCCATCTAGTCTGCCCAATTTTCTAAATACTTTCATTAGTCCCTAGCCTTATCTTATAGTTAGGATAGCCTTATGCCTATCCCACGCATGCTTAAACTCCTTTTACTGTGTTAACCTCTACCACTTCAGCTGGAAGGCTTTTCCATGTGTCCACTACCCTCTCAGTAAAGTATTACTTCCTGATATTATTTTTAAACCTTTGCCCCTCTAATTTAAGACTATGTCCTCTTGTTGTGGTAGTTTTTCTTCTTTTAAATATAGTCTCCTCCTTTACTGTGTTGATTCCCTTTATGTATTTAAATGTTTCTATCATATCCCCCCGTCTCGTCTTTCCTCCTTGCACGGACCTTTACTCTAACAAGGTATGGTAAAAAAGCCCATCTGTGGAGTCCACATGGGTTTCACTAAGGTTATATGTCCATACTAGACTATGAATCTATTAGCAGATTAATATCTGGTTTTCTCAGGTTTGTGAATGAGCTGCACACATATAGAATGTGAATTCTAACACGGGGAGGGTAGTTCATGGTTTTATAGGTCATTTTTATTGTGTATCAAGCTTTTTGAGTGGCTCAGATTGTTCACATCTTGTCTAAAACACAAATACATGTTTAAATAGAACAATGAACTCACATGATTTTCTTCAAATTCTTAAATTTGGATAACACTCCAGACAATGTTTCCACACCAGCATTATCAATGCTATTGGAACTTAAGCTGCAAAGACAAGAGTACCAATATTACAATTTTAACGAGACATTTTGATACTGGATTTGTGAACACTGTGAAATGAAATTAAATTCCAATAGGTGGATGGGGGAGGAGATTAAAGGGTAAATGCTCCCCCTAATAAGCAAAGGAAATTTATGTCTGGCTGGCAGCAGGGGCTGCAAGTGCTTGGTTAATTACCTGCCTCTTGAGTTCAGCTCCACTGAGCTAAACAATCTCAATGTAGCATGACCAATTTTCTTGGATTGACAGCCAGGGGGTGTGTACCCAAGTTTATTTATAAAAGTGCCAATTTCTGTGATATTAAAAAAGGGCATACGCTTCACATATACACTGATCAGCCACAACAATAACACCACCTGCCTAATATAGTGTAGATGCCCCTTGTGCTGCCAAAACAGCTCTGATTCATTGAGGCTCCTGGACTCCTCAAGACCTTTGAACATGTCCTGTGGTATCTGGCACCAAGACATTAGCAACAGATCCTTCAAGTCCTGCAAGTTTCAACGTAGAACCTCCACAGGTACTCATTTGGATTGAGATCTGGGGAATTTCGAGGCCAAGAAAACACCATGAACTCCTTGTCATGTTCCACAAACCATTCCTCGAGCAATTTTTGCAGTGTGACAGGGTGCATTATCCTGATGAAAGAAGCTACTGCCATCAGGGAACACCATTTCTATGAAGGGGTGTATGTCGTCTGCAACCATATTTAGGTAGATGGTGTCAAGGTAACATCCACATGAATGCCATGATCCAAGGTTTCCAAGTAGAGCATAACTCTGCCTCTGCCAGCCTTCCTTCTTTCCATAGTGCATCCTGCTGCTATCTCTTCCCCAGGTAAACACACGTACCCGGCCAGCCACCTGATCTAAAAGAAAATGTGATTCGTGTAACCAGGCAGCCTTTATTCGATGCTTCAAGGTCCAGTTCTGAAGGTCCCCATTGAAGGTGCTTTTGGCAGTGGACAGGGCTAATTATGGGCACTCTAACCAGTCTGCAGCTCCATATGCAACAAACTGTGATATATTGTGTGTTCTTACATCTTTCTATCATGGCCAGCATTACGTTTCCCAGCAATTTGAGCTACAACACCTTTTCTGTGCGATCGGACCAGACGGGCTGATCTTTGCTCCCCATGTGAATCAATGAGCCTTGGGCGCCCATGACTCTGATGACAGTTCATTGTTTGTCCTTCCTTGCACCACTTTTGGTAGGTACTAACCACTGCATTCCGGGAACACCCCACAAAACTTGCCGTTATGGAGATGCTTTGTCCCAGTCTTCTAGCTATCACTATTTGGACCTGGTCAAAGTCACTCAGATCTTTCCACTTGCCCATTTTTCCTGCTTCCAACACATGAAATTCAAGAACTGTTCACTTGCTGCCTAATAAATCCCACCCCTTGACAAGTGCCACTGTAACAATACAATCACTTCCCCTGTCAGTGGTTTTAATTTTGTGGTTGATCAGTGTAAAGGATTTCAGGAAGCTAAAGTGTTTAGGTATCTGGAACGGTGCTTTAAGCTTTCTACTTGTTGGGCAGGAATTGTAGCTAGCCGTTTGAAGGCATGCCAGTCTATAGAAGTGAGTAGGACTAAGATGGACACTGTGTGTGATTTTGAGAAAGGGGGATCAATAGCCCAAATAAGTAGAAAGCTATAGATTTATGGCTACTGATCTGCTGTTGTGAATATCTGAAACAGGCTCGATGGGGAGGGAGAAGCGAGCGTATTGTTGGATGATTGGACGGACAGACAGACATGTAGATAAACTGTCATATAACTTCAAAATAGTGAGAATTAAACTCTGTGTGTTACATTGTTTTGTATAACTTAATATGCAAAGTAGTATAAAGTTCATGGAATAATGTTAATATAATTAATATACAGGATAGCATACAGTGATTGTTTTGACACTCTTTAACATTATAATAAAAAATAAATGAATAATTAACTTACTCAATGGCTTCGATGAGGGTGCAGGTGCAAAGGTGCTGTGCTAGGTGCCGGAGCCCATTGTATTTGATACTATTTTCGCTAAGCCTTAAGAATGAAATAAAAATTCAAAATAAATAATCTACGTAAAACTGTTGCAATCTGCATACTGCGGGTAGAATAGCAAAAATGGAGGAACACAACACATATGTTTAACACTTCACTGCTCAACATGCAACTGAGGAAGAGGTGAGGCTGCAACTTTATTATTCCACAGACAAAGGAACACATAGAGGGAACACCTTAGAATCACATCCCCAACAAATACATTGCTTCCGATTTACATATGACAAGAAATAGACTTACAAAGCGTCCGGCACGCTTACCAGTCCCCATAGATATAGTATAACTGAAACGCAGGGAGACCCCACAATGCCTCATATGCAGTCGGATATGGGTCACTGTTTTTAATTGTGTAAACAAATTTCTCAATTCTGAAGTAAAATAACAACAACTTACTACTACCACCCAATTACGGTCAATCCCCAATTATACCAGGGGCTGCACTGTAGGGCATTTTACCAAACTAAAATTCAAACAAATAGTTTGATAGCAGCCAGGAAATCAATCCGACATAACAGGATTTGTCATGAAGCCCCAACATGTCTTTACTCCATTCCAAATTGTATTAAGCCCTTTTTTAAAAAATAAATAAAAATTTTTTATTCTAAATCCACAAAATTTTACTGGTAGTGCACAATGTAGAGAACAATAAGTAACAAGGTTTGAGACATCACAATACATTTGTGCCTAGCCATGGCAGTAGCAGTTTGGGCATGAGGATTAAGCTTTTAATAGCAATAAAAAATATAAAAAAGTAATAAAATATATAAGCTGTTAAACAGTGCCAACCATTCACTACAGGAGCTTGCAAGGTGGGTCAAATATTGCAGATGGGTAGGTTGGCGTTGTGCCCTGTGTTGTAGTAAGGACATAGGATGGGAGTGTACCCACTTAGTGGCGGCAGACATGAACAGATGGACCCTGGCAGGATCCCAAGCTGTATGCTGCGGGGGTGCTCCTGGCTGCTGTTGTTCTCTGGTGTGCGTAGACAGCCCCAGAATCCTCAGAGTTCCGGCCGCTTCAGAGGCATCGGTAATTTTCAAAGTCCCAGTATCGTGGGGAACCAGCAGACTCCTGGGAGAGCCCCATTTGTAGGGTATCCGGTGCTTTATTAGCTCGGCAGTTAAGGGTCGCATGGACCTCAACCAGACCATTGTGGCTCTGGACAGATCTTGGTAGAAGTTTAGTGCATGCTCCTCGAAGTGGTAGGGTGACTTGTGATGTACCGCCGACATGAGAGCCTGCCTGTCCGACCTGTTCTGGAAATGGACTATAACATCGCTGCTGGTTCCCATGGTGCCAGATGTCAGTGCCAGAAGCCGATAGCAGCCATCCAGCCGCACGGCCTTAGCTTGTTTAGCCAAAAAAAGGATGGTGAGTAGCCTCCGAAGAATCTGCCAGGCCCTGAATCTTCACGTTTTTCCAACGCCTGCAGTCCTCCATAGCCGCCATTCTGTGTTGCATAGTAGCCTGTTCACTTCTTATTACTATCAGCTCTTGTTCAATGCTAGTGAGGTGGACCTCGTGGGCAGCAGTTTGCAGTTCAGCGTCCTGGAGGTGAACCGAAACCACATTGATTTCCTCTTTAAACTGATTGTCAGAGGCTATATTGCGTCGGAGATCAGCTAAGAGAGCCTTTAAAGTACCTTCTGTCACCGGTGGTTCGCCAGATTTTATTAGAGGTAAGTCAGCTCTCTGCTTTGCAACAGGTGTCTTTTGCTCCTGCAAGTCGACAAGGGATGACTCACTAGATGACCTGGAGGGCTCGTCGAAGCGAGGCACCATGTCAGGCCTCGTGGGGTTCCGCGATCTCCATAAAAGATCGCCAATATCAGCGATTGTCAGAGGCTTATCTGCCCTATATTTCTTGTTTTTGCATCCCATCATATGAGGTATTGGATGCACACACTTTGGGGGAAGTATCGCTGGAAAATTGGGTAGCAATATCAGATATTTTCCCCTGCTTGTTCAGAGCACCATCAACACACGTCCAGTCAGTATGGCTGCTGGCTCTACCCCCCTGTATTAAGCCCTTTGAGCGGATTGACTCAAGTCCCTTTTAAGTAAGGATTTGAATACCTAGCATTTCTTATAGAATTGGTTAATATATATCAATTCACTATACGTTTAGGAATGTCTGTCTGTTTGTCTCATAAACACCAACAAGGCTATTCAGCTACCTTTATTAATTTACATATTAAAACCTAAAATGTTAAATTAATTTTGGACTCTCAACATTTCACATATTATTAAACAGCCCTGTCAAATATATTTTCCAACCCTCACTCTGTATTATAGAATCTAGAGTACTACAAATGTCATAAGTAAAGGAGCAAAGGTTTCTTACATTATCGTCTTTAAGGATGGCATATTTGAGAAGCCTGGACACAGTATTTGAAGAGATACATCATCCAGTTGTAGAGATTCCAAGCTGTGTGATATAAAGAATATTGTTATAAAAACACAGAATTCTATTCCATGTAGTCAAATGATAATTGTGTGTAATGCAGTTACAAAGTGACCTGTTAAGCTCTCATGCCAACTTTGTAGAAAATGCACAATCTATATAAGGTGATCGTGTTTTTATCTTTGGTGCCCTAATACAGTAACATTCTACAGGCGGCAGGGCTGATAAATATGGGATGAACATGGTTGAGTACCAGTCACCTGCAGCAAATCATGCCATTATTTACGTAATAACTATATTATTGTCTATTCTATTACAATGGTTCGAATAATAAAAACACAAAATTTAGTAATATTCTGAAGTCCTAATTAAATCCTATATGAAGATTTTAAAGGAATACCCCAGCCACCATAACCACAACAGCTTGGACTATGATACCAGGAGTGTACTTGTGCCTACATTGCAAGGAGACAGCTTGTTTTAGAACAGCTAGCATGACAACAAATGCCAAAAAAGGTGCAAATCTGTCTGCAACACGTCAATAATCTCCCTCATTGTTCTATATAATTTGAGATTTTTTTTTTTTTTTTTTTCATAGCTCTTTCTTGTCTCTGTTATGTCAATTGTGATTTAAAGCATATAAACCTGACTTTCTTTCAGGGTTACTTAGAGGGACCCTAGAGGCACTTAGACTACTTAAAGGACCACTCTAGGCACCCAGACCACTTCAGCTTAATGAAGTGGTCTGGGTGCCTGGTCCAGCTAGGGTTAACCCATTTTTTAATAAACATAGTAGTTTCAGAGAAACTGCTATGTTTATTAATGGGTTAAGCCTTCCCCCTATTCCCTCTAGTGGCTGTCTCATTGACAGCCACTAGAGGCGCTTGCGTGATTCTCACTGTGATTTTCACAGTGAGAGCACGCCAGCGTCCATAGGAAAGCATTGTAAATGCTTTCCTATGTGACCGGCTGAATGCGCGCGCAGCTCTTGCCGCGCGTGCGCATTCAGCCCGGGGGAGGAGGAAGGAGGAGGAGAGCTCTCCGCCCAGCGCTGGAAAAAGGTAAGTTTTTAACCCCTTTCCCCCTTCCAGAGCCGGGTGGGAGGGGGTCCCTGAGGGTGGGGGCACCCTCAGGGCACTATAGTGCCAGGAAAACGAGTATGTTTTCCTGGCACTATAGTGGTCCTTTAAGTTCATTGAAGTGGTCTGGGTGCACTGTCCCAGGTCCCTTAACCCTGAGCAGGTAATTATTGAAGTTTTTAAAAACTGCAATAATTACCTGCTCGGGTTAACTCCACCTTTAGTGGTGGACTTCCTGGCTAATAGGCGACTTTTGGTCACCTCACGGACACTGGTGTCCTCACGCTATGCATGGAGACGTCCAGTGTCAACCCAAGCTTTCAAGTTTGTTTTCCTGGCAAGAATTATCCCATTATAATGACAGTTTATAAAATTGCCGAATTTTATGAGAAATCAGCACTTTTATGAATAATTAATTAAGCACTTTTATAAGCCATTAATGAATCAATCAGAGAGCCGGAGGATTTTCTAACTGCTTCAGTTAGCTGCTCTGAGTCTTCCTCTTTACAGACCTCAGATCAGAACACTGTGCAGATACAGATTTGCCACTTTGAACTGACGACAATTCACACTTTAGTGAATAAGCTCAAGACACAGGATTCCATAGGGTTGTATTCACTAATCTCCAAACTATAGTGAATTAAAATCTGAATTGCAAACTTTAGGCAAGAATAGGTGATCTGGAAAAATTCTCCAAGTCAACGATAGTCACAAATGGACTATTTTAGACTGAATTTTATCATTGAGATTTCAGTGCATTTGGAATTTGGTATTTAGTGAATAAACCCCTCTATCTTCTTAGTACATAATGTATGTATGTAAAAAATATTCTTACTGAATCTCCCGTAATTCAGTGCAATGTAAAAGACCCTCTATGAAACGTCTTCCTCCTTCCGAGGTAACGGAGAAACAGTGAGACAAGCTAAAAAGAGAAAAAAAATTATAAATATTAAGTATTGATTTATAAACTGACAGAATGCCCTTTAGATATCCTATAATAAGCCGACCAGGCTTGGCCATTCAGCTGTGTTGGCTGGTAGAGAATTATGGGAGTTGTAATCCAACATAGAAAGCAAAGGCTAGTCACCCTCTTCCATAATGTATTAACATAGTTCTGTCCCAAATTTAAAAATTAAGATAATTATCATATTATGATAATAACTAGTATTTATATAGTTCCTTTCTCCCAGTGAGACTCAAAGCGGTTTTCAGCATTCATATTAGAATTAACCGAATTGGCAGCTGAATAATAGTAATAGATTTTATTACCCAATTGATGGTACTCATTTATCGACCTCGGAAGGATGAAGGGCTGAGTTGACCCTGCCGGGATTTGAACCTGTGATCTTGTGTTTTCGAACAGGCTCTGTAGTCATGGAGTTTACTTACCGAGTAGAAAAATGTTTGTATTTCCTCAGCAGGACTTTCTCAGTCTTTGCTTCTTATTAATATATTTTGTTTATAAGAGCGCATTCTGAAGTGCTATCGCAGGGGCATACAATAAACACACAAAGTATGAAAGGGTTATCTACTAAAGTGAGAATTGAAAGTGAATTTCAAATAAAAGGCTTGAGTAAAGTGAAAGCATGGCGGACATTGAGAATTTTCTGCTATTTTGATCTTAACTTTGAAATTCACTTTGAACTCTTTCTAGTGAATAGCCCTGTGTGATGCCTGTCTGTGTAGCCAAAATGGGCCAACTGAGTATGTTTTTCTGCTAAAGACAGATGGCTTATTCACTAAACAGTGCTGGTTATGGACTTGCAAAGTTTGAGCTGCAATGATAAAACTGAAAACAACTTCATCTTGGTTCAAAATAGAAACATAGAATGTGACGACAGATAAGAACCATTCGGCCCATATACTCTGCCTAATTTTCTAAATACTTTCATTAGTCCCTGGCCTTATCTTATAGTTAGGATAGCCTTATGCCTATCCATAGGCGTGCACAGCCTATTGCATAAGGGTGTGCACCCTAAAGCACAAACTCACACGTGTATGTGTGTGTGTGTGTGTGTGTGTGTGTGTGTGTGTGTGTATATATATATATATATATATATATATATATATATATATATATATACACACACATACACTGCTGTGTGTGTGTGTGTGTGTGTGTGTGTATATGGGTGCTGTGTGTGTGTTTGTGAGGGTGGTGTGTGTGTGTGTAAGGGTGTTGTTAGTGTGTGTGTGTGTGTGTGCTGTGTGTATGTGTAAGTGTGCTGTGTGTGGGGGTTCCTGTTAGTGTGTGTGTGCTGTGTGTTAAGGGTGGTGTGTGCTGTGTGTATGTATGTGTGAGGGTGGTGTGTGTATGTGTGTCTGAGGGTGCTGTTAGTGTGTGTGTGCTGTGTGTATGTATGTGTGAGGGTGCTGTTAGTGTGTGTGTGTGCTGCGTGTATGTGTAAGGGTGCTGTGTGTGGGGGGGTTGCTGTTAGTGTGTGTGTGCTGTGTGTGTAAGGGTGGTGTGTGTGTGTGTGGGCTGTGTGTATGTATGTGTGAGGGTGGTGTATGTGTGTGCGTGTGAGGGTGCTGTTAGGGTGTGTGTGCTGTGTGTGTGTATGTGTAAGGGTGCTGTGTGCTTTGTGTGAGGGTGTTGTGTGTGTGCTGTGTGTGTAAGGGTGCTGTATGTGTGAGGGTGCTGTTAGTGTGTGTGCTGTGTATATATGTGTAAGGGTGCTGTGTGTGTGTGTATTTGTTTGGAGGGACTAAGGGGGGTGGGGGGACCATTTAGTTAATAGCCCCCCTCCCTTCTTATCTTTTGTAGGGAGGGTGGACTGTGCTGCTGGCATCCATGGTGGTCATGTGGTGAGTGAACTCTAGCCTGCGGGGCTAGAGTTCACTATCGCGAGATCTGAGCATTGCCATGGCAACTCTCCGACCTTCCGAGAGGAACCTGGCGGAGCCAGGGCCGCCACCAGAAATTTTGGGGCCCCTAACTCAGCTCAGGGTCTGGGCCCCCTGGGGCCCGCCTCCAAATACCGCCCACTGTGTCCGCCTCCACATTCCGCCCACAGGAATACACACACAGACACAAACACACACACTGATACAAAAAGACAGAGATACATACTAACAGACACACATACTGAAACAGACATACACGCATATAGGCATACATACTGAGACATACACACAGGCATACATAGTGACAGACAGACACATACTAACATACATACAGACACACATGCATGAGGACATAAAGACACACACATACATACCGACACCGACATACATACATACACACAGACATACTGACAGACATACAGACACTGTCATCCATACACACATACATTCATAATGGCATACAGACATACATACATACATTCAGACTGACATACATGCATATATACAGACATACTGACAGACATACAGACATCCATACACACAGACATACGTTCATAATGATATGCAGGCATACATTCATACTGACATACAGACATACATATATAATGACATACAGACATACATATATACATACATACATAGACATACATGCATGCAGTCAGACAAACATAGACATACACACAGACATACATACAGACACACAGACATGCATGCATACAGACATACATACATACATAGACATACATGCATACAGACAGACATGCATACAGACAGACATACATACATACATAGACATACATGCATGCCTACAGACAGACATACAGACATACAGACATACACATACATACATACAGACAGACATACAGATATACATACATAGACATACATACATACATACACAGACATACAGACATAAATGCATACAGACAGACATAGACATACATGCATACAGACAGACATGCATACAGACAGACATGCATACAGACATACACATACATACAGACAGACATACAGACATACATACATGACATACATAGACATACATGCATACAGACATACAGACAGACATACACATACATAGACATACATACATAGACATACACACAGACATACATACATACAGACACACACAGACATACAGACATACATAGACATACATGCATACAGACATACATGCATGCCTACAGACAGACATACATACACAGACAGACATACATACACAAACAGACATACATAGACATACATGCATGCCTACAGACAGACATACAGACATACACATACATACATACATACACAGACAGACATAGACATACATGCATACATACATGCATACAGACAGACATACACATACATACAGACAGACATACATACATAGACATACATACATAGACATACATATATACATACAGAGACAGGCATACATACACACACAGACAGACATACATACATACATACATAGACATACATGCATGCCTACAGACAGACATACAGACATACACATACATACATACATACACAGACAGACATAGACATACATGCATACATACATGCATACAGACAGACATACACATACATACATACAGACAGACAGACATACATACATACATATGACATACATATATACATACAGAGACAGGCATACATACACACACAGACAGACATACATACATACATACATAGACATACATGCATGCCTACAGACAGACATACATACATATACAGACAGACAGACAGACATACACATACATACATACAATTGACGATCCTTTAATTTGTCCAAATGGGCGTCTTTTGTAACAGACAATTTACCCCTATGTAATCCATTGCATGAAAATAACGGCATGCTTACAAATATATCCTCTACGCTATATGCTATTGATTGTGAGCCCTTTTGTACTGTGTAGTGACTCACTGTTTCTAAGTCCTGGGTTTAAGATACATGCTAAGAGTGTTTGTTATATGTTTGTTATATGCAGGAATCCAAATGATGAGTGGTTAGAGTATATGTAGACCATACCTCACAAAATTTCAATAGACAAAAAGGGCCAATTTCATTTTGAGGGTGTGAGTGGGGGTATGGCCGGGGACGGCTGTAATGCGATATTTTGTGTGACTTACTAATAGCAATTTATGCAACTAAAACATAGTTTAGAACAAGAACAATGTATCATATTTACACACACTTTCTAAACACATTTATTGTAGTTTAAAAACACATTACTGTGAGTATTATTGCTGTGGAACTTTGTTAGACACGCAGACACACCAGCAACATGGAACATTAGGGTAGAAATGAAAGTACTAAAATAGGGACTTTCCCTCCTAAATAGGGACACTTGGAAGGTATGCTAAAGGCATGGCTGTTCTTGGTTTCTCATTAGGAACGAAATCACTGATCTTCCATTTTCCAGTCCCTGTGGCTCGCTCTACTCAGTTTCTGTTTTCCAATTCATGTGCTTCTCTCTATTACCTGACTCTCACACTAAATGATTTGTGTGCTTCTTCTCAACGTGACCTTTCCAGTTCATGCCTTGCTATCTACATCCCCCGTTCTTGCTGTTTTCTACCTCATGCATGTCCCTGACCTCAGCCCTGAACTCCTCTCCATCATCCCAAATCCTTTGCCGCTTATTCCTAGTCCTAACTAGTGACTTTTACCAAGCTATGTGCTCCCTCCCTGAGTCATTGCACTTTCCTCTAGCCCCCTGACGCCTCTACAGTTCAGTTTCTATAAGCACCCCCTAACTAAGACCTTGTCAATCCTTTTTCATAGCTATTGCACCCTCAGCATCCCCAACACCATGCTGCTTTCTTCCGTCATTCCGCCTGTATTCCATCCCAGCACAAAAGAGCGCTTCTCTATGAGACTAATTTGATTGGACCACTCGAGGACAGGGATGATGTCGGATGGAGGCATGCGGAGCTAGGCCAGAAGATACCACCGGCATTGGATTTAATGTCAGTTTAATATCTTTTTCGTGTTTTAAAGAGGGAGACCTTGTTAGTAATGCCCAATATAGCATTATACGTTTTATAAAAGTTTGTTAAAAAGGTTAGAGTAGCCGTTTAAGTATACAGTACCCTAAGCAAAGTAATTATTCCCCATCACAGCAGGTCATCAGTACATAACTAGCATCACTAGAATTTTATTTTTAAAGTAGTTAGTAGCTACTATTGTATTATCTGGAAGTGTTTGTTTTTTTAAAAATTTTTATTCATTTTGAATCAAACAATATGATGTCATATATGGAAAATATAATGTTAATAAATTGACTTTTTCTCTCTCATCGTGGGAATAAAAACATTTACATATTCCAAAGATGTGTCTGCGTTAAGTGAATGTACACTTATTGCCAGAGTTGACACGAATTCCAGGAATTTTGCAAATAATGGTTTAAAATCAGATTTGCTGAACGTGAAAACTATTGAATATAACAGTTCAGTGAGCGGGGGAAATGTATATTTGATATAATTCTCTTATGAATGTGAAGAAAACATTTACATCAATAGTAGACCTTGGATTGAGGCAACATTTTGAATATATGTGTGAAAGTAACCAGTCAATGTGGATTCTGGACCCCCAGATGTTGGTGGACTACAGTTCCCAAGATTCTATGGATGCAATAGGTTGAAAGGGAATAATTGGAGTTATAGTTCAACAACATCTGTGGGTCCAGAGTTTGATAACCCTGGTTATGATCTATTAATGCATCAGTTGAACCTGATTAGATTAGCATTAAATCCTGCTTTTTGCCTTGTGTGCAATAGGTGTATACAAAAAAAAATGAAGACTTCAATCAGCTAAACTTACTTTATTAAATGAAAATCCTGTTTTTTCTCCAGTAACTTTGCCATAGAAAGTGCCCCCGCATCTCCAATAGCATTGCGAGAAAAACTAAAAGATAAAAAAAAACAATGAACAAAAGTGAATAAAGAAACCATGGTATACCTGCTAGTCTGAACTCTAATAAATACAAACATGGCAGGTCCGGGAATGGCAATTGTGTGCAGTATTACTGTAAATAATTGAGTTGATCATTCCATTCCAAAAACAGATTATTCATGGAATAGAGCAGAGCTCCTCATCCCTCTCAACAAGGCACACCTAACAGTCCAGGTTTTAGGGATTACCCGGTGTTTAAATAAAAAAAAAACTAAAAACACATTAGACTCCAAGGTCTTTTTTTTCTTTTTCTAAAAACCTTAGACACCCCCGGGTAATCCCTAGATCCTGGACTGTTAAGTGTGTATTGAGGAGAGGGTTGAGAAGCACTGGTATAGAGTCTAGACCAGGAGTGCCTAAAATGTAGATCCTCTACATCTTTAAAACTACATCTTCCATGATGCTTTGTCATTCTAAAGGCATGCAAAGCATCATGGAAGTTGTAGTTCTATAATATCTGGGGATCTATCTTTTGGGTACTCCTGGAATAGACTCTAGACAATCACAGGTCCTTACATAGACAGTAATAAAAATTACCATTTCTTTATGAAGATACTATAATAGTGTTGCATTCAGACGAACACAGTCATTATTGCACAGATTACAGTGCTATGAACAGAATGTAGCAGCAAAATGTACATCTTTCCCCCTCCTTAACTCATGTGGGCATTGATGGAGATATGGTGGACTGCAACACCCATCACTTCCAATCAGGTTTTGCTAGGGTGGGTGTTACATTGTTTTACCACATCAATTGTTCCTCCTACTCCATATCAGTGGCATACCTACCATGGTCGCAGGGGTCGCCTCTGCGACTAAGCCAGTCACTCCACAGGGTCCAGCTGCAGCCATGATTCCTGCGAGCGTGGGCCGCCGGCATCACTTCAGGGTCTGCGCAGTGCAGCACCGGCCCGGGGCCCGTAGTTGGCGGGTTACCAGCAGGAGTGGAGAGCTGTGCTGCTGCCCTGTGTGTCACATGGCCCAGCGGTCTGACAGGAAGTGCTCACTAAGAGAGCACTTCCTGTCAGTCCTGGTATGGCGGTCCAGTGAACTGGTGCACAAGGGGAGTAGGGGTTGGGAATGACACACATGGAGGGGCTGGAATGACACACAGAGAGGCTGGGGGGGCTTGGGAATGACAGAAATGGACGGGCTGGTAGGGATGAGAAAGACACACATGGAGGGTCTGAGGGAGTTGGAATAACACACATGGTATTGGAGTTTTTGACAGGTGGTGCCCAGGAGGCAGTAGTAAGCCAAATGCAAGGTACCGAATAGGAATGAGACAATCTGCGTTCCTGCGCAGGTTCAGGAACGATATAACAGGCAGGTAGGTCAAGGATCAGATTATAACAAAAGTGTACACACCAAAGAGCACAGTATAACTGAGAATATATAAGGGAGAGGCATCCACCTCTCACATAATATTGGCTGACAAGTGATTAGCCCTTTTAAATTATTACAGGTGTTCTGTTCCTTTAAGAAGCCGGCTTTCGGGTGCGTGTGCTCCTAGCGTCTATGAATTTCAGATGGAGCCTCCCGCAGGCTGCTGCGCGGAGAGCCGCGGTACTGTGTCCAAGTGCCGCAAAAATGTTGGCTGTTTGTTTGGGAATGAGACACATGGAGGTGCTAGGGAGGGAATGAGACACATGGAGGGGCTAGGGAGGGAATGAGACACATGGAGGTGCCAGGGCGGGAATGAGACACCTGGAGGTGCTAGGGAGGGAATGAGACACATGGAGGTGCTAGGGAGGGAATGAGACACATGGAGGTGCTAGGGAGGGAATGAGACACATGGAGGGGCTAGGGAGGGAATGAGACACATGGAGGTGCCAGGGCGGGAATGAGACACCTGGAGGTGCTAGGGAGGGAATGAGACACATGGAGGTGCTAGGGAGGGAATGAGACACATGGAGGTGCTAGGGAGGGAATGAGACACATGGAGGTGCTAGGGAGGGAATGAGACACATGGAGGGGCTAGGGAGGGAATGAGACACATGGAGGTGCTAGGGAGGGAATGAGACACATGGAGACAAATATTCTGTTTTGCCCCAAAATATTTAGATGCTAACCATAAAGACCACCTTCCATATTAAACTTAGTTTTAAAGACAGTGGTACTCACAGGGACTGCATAATGCCCACTCACTTGATATTTATTATTGTATTGCAGTTTCCCACGCTCTCTGTAATTTGTGACACTCCAACATGTGACATGCTTACTCCTTCAATCCTAAAAAAACATGAAAACATGTAAGCATGCATTAGCACAATCAGTTCTAGAGGTTCAGATCAGTTCTTAGCTGCTCTCCTACCAATGACAATCATTGTGCGCTCTGGGTATCACACTTTTAATCTGAATAACATGGGATACTTTTGTTTTCTAATGAGAAGACAGTGTGGGTCACTGAGATGTTCTCCATCTCGTATAGTTTAATAATTTTAGAACATATTTTACAGAAAGCTAGCGAGTTCCATTAACTGTGGGTGATTCCTGGGTCAGTACCGCAAAATGGGCAGCACTGACATTGAGCTATTCTACGCTGTGCATGAAGGCGCTGAATGTTCCTCATAGAGGTGCATTGGTTCAATGCATCTCTATTAGGACATGCTGATTGGTGCAGCGTGGTGTTTTGCCGCACAGACTCAATAGCCTCCCAATGCTTTCCTATGAGGAAAAGATTGATGATCTCAGCCAAGGCACAGTGTGAGCAGGGCCAGCCGCGACGAGACCCACTCAGCACTGTAAGTAAACTACTTTTTTCATGGGCAGACCCGTTGCACTTTACAAAATGACAGAAATGGACAATAAGAGTTACAGCACCAGACTTACTGTTATAAAAAGAGTTTATTGCGGTGCAGTGAAGGCGCATCTGGTAAGGTTTCAACCTATTTAAAGATATTTTTATGGCATGACAAAGCTGGAGTCAAAACGTTGTAAAGTCCACATTCACAGTGGTGGAATAAACCTTTTCCATCAGTATATCTAGTAAAATGGCACACTACTTGCATTGTATTAAGAAACAATGGAGAATCCTAGGACACTGCACCCAACACCCGTTTTGGGTTTGTTAGTCCTCTACGCATGCTTTATTGCTCTACATTACTACAGAATATGTTGACATTAAAGATAATAGCAAAAGACATAAATACATGTGTTACTTACTCAAGTGTCCGAAGGGCAACAAGAGACGGAAGCACTTTTGCCAAATCACGGATTCCAGCATCACCCAGCGAGTTGTTAGATAAACTGTGAACACGTGATAAGGAGGACACATCTCAATATCAAGTCATTGTTTCATAGCGATCTATGACCTGGATTTAATAAACTTTCTAAATGCTTCCAATCTGTTTCCAAATGATTTAACTACAAACATTCTACCAGACTCTAATGGTGATTTCTGTAGGTAAATGTAACAGATTGGAATAATTTGGAAAACGTATTAAATTAAGTCCTATATTAGTAGCAGGCTAGTTTTGATTAGACCCACCCTAACTGTTTATTTAAAGCACACATATAGACCCCGATTTAATATTTTTGGATAAGCTTTTAAAATTATTTAAAAATTTGGATACACTTTTTAAGGTATTGGAGTTTTGGATAAACTTTTAAAAAAAAATTTTTTACAAAATATCTATCAAATATATATTTATATAAAAAAATATCAAAATGTTACAATATTAAAATATTTTTCAAAGGGGACGGAGCCTGGCACCGATGCCGACAAGACAACATAATGAGCAGCTCAAATAGCTTTAGTCTGCAACTCCTCGACTAGCTGACACGCTTATCTCTGACCAGATGTCGTTCCTTTTAACTCCAGCACACAAAAAGCATCGTTCAATCTCTGGGGCCTAACTCACCTCAAAACTTAAAAGAACCACATGTTCCGCAAGAGGAGAACCTAGTGGAATAAAACTACCATCACTTGCAATCCTGGCTAGTACTGTCATACCAGCTGCACAGATGGGATGAAAAAGGCCACATACAAAGACCCAGGCTGATAACCAAAATATTGGTACACTTTTTCAAAACCACTCGTCTGCTAAAATGGCAGGAATGTGGTAGGGCGTCATGCCTAGTCTGTTCAGGATTTTCATGGAGAAGTACCTATGCCAACTCCACTAGACATAGCCACAAAGCAGGATATTCAGAACTTACTAATAGATATACAGAAATTGTTCCAGGCAGAGCTGGGGTTAATAAAAGCAGACATGCAGGTGGCGACAGACTGGCTAAAGGCCACAGAGAAAGACATCATTGACCTCCACCATGGTATGTCTTTTGTGAAAGAAGCCATATGACAGTTACAATCTCCACATTTTAAACATTTACATTTAGAGTAAACATGATGGAGGAACAAAGAAGACAGAAGAACATAACATTTAGAGGCATTCCGGATGAAATTAACATTGACTAGCCCCCACACTACATGAGGCGCCTCATAGCATCCATCCTTCCTCCTAATCTTGCCAATCTTGCTCTAGATGGGGTACATCATATGAGTAAGTACCCAAATGCACCTACAACAGTCACTCGAAATGTCATACTCAGGTGTCAAATATTCCAAGACAAGCAATGCATAATGACAGCAGTACAAGTAAAGACTACATATGTCCTCGAAGACAATAACCTCACCTTCTATCATGACCCGCCAAGATCAAGTTCCTTGAGTGCCATCACAAAGAAATTACAGGAAGCTGGCCTGCTCTACGGTCTTTGTCAGTGTCAAGGGATGGGACGTTTCATGCATTCACATCTCCATAAGAAGTGCAAGTCTTTCTCACAGTCTGTAGGTCTCATCTACTGGCTTTGGAAGACTTACCACTAAGAATCTAAGGGTCTTGAGAGGAGTAGTATCATTTGTTCCACAACCTGATCCATGTCAATGCAGATTGTTTTTCTTTCATATATGTTACTTTTAAATTGCTATAACTTTGTTATTCCCATGCTGGGAATTGTTCTGCATATGGGAAAAAGGGCCATATATGACTCTCTTGTATTGGCTCATATTGGTGCTAGTTCTATGTACTTTATACTGTCTTTAACAATATTGCAGACCTCTTACCTCCAGCTGCCCCCTTGGTTAGGGATACTTTCCTCCCCATGCTGAGCCCTATGTTTAGCCATCCTTTTACTCATCCTCTTACTATGCCATATTACCATTTTGATTGTAATTAAGGGCTCCTAGCAATTACGTTTGATTTCACTCGTACTTTTGTATTATCTTATTGAAAATTGGGTGCAACTGCATATATGTCCATTTTGATTGCGTAACTGATGTTCTGCAATTGCCTTTGTGATATTCTCTTTTACCCACCAAAATAAAGAATTATATATATATTTATTCTTTTTTCAAACTATTAAGTAATCTTAAAAATGTATCCAACAATATGAAATAATTTGAAAAGCTTAGCCAAAAACGATTAAATTGGGTGCCATAGTTCTTTAAATAGTTGTCCTCCATATTTCTGTAAGACAATGTGAAAAGATTAAAATAATAAGCGGCTTTGTCACTTGGTGTGCCGGTTTTGTTTTCGTTTTCCCCTCAAATAATTATTTTTTGCAAAATTAAACATACATATACAAAAGAAGGGACTACTTTTCCTAATGTATAACCAGCAGGTTGATAAAACTTGACAAAGGGTGTAACTTTGGTCGAAATTAGGTGTTTGCAAGACAACTCTACATTGATCTCACAGTGATCTCACATTGTCTTGTTAACATTAAAAACCATGAGTGAATTGGTGTAGATGTATCAAAGTATTCTGGAGAGTATTTTTGATTTTCAGTCTCTATATCTGTTTGTATCTAAAGTGGTCTAAAAAGTGTTGACTTTTCGCTACATAAATTCCTCCATTTCTCACAGAAATATCCATTTCTAGAGTGGTGGGAAAAGTGGTCTAGAGTGGTGGAAAAAAGAGAAGTGAAACAGAACACTTTTCTATCAGAACAAATTATGAAAATATTGATAAATGTCTCAAAAAATGGTGTATATTTAAAAATTATGTTTATGGAACAAAAAACCCCCCAAAAAAACAAAATACAAAACAGACAGATTTAATAAAAAAAAAGAAAAAGGTGCAAAGCTGCCAGCAACACTTCAAATATCTTCCCCATTGTGTTCTATATTATTGGGGGAGGGGGATGTAAGGGGGTAGGTTTTCTTAAGCTTTATACTGTATGTTATGTCAATTATGTTTTACTGGTGGGGGGAAAAAAAATCAATAAAATTATGAATGAGAAAGAAAAAATAAGTTAAACATTGTGTAAGAATTGATTTTATATTTACAGTGATATTTTATTCTTTTGCTACCATTTCACACAAGACATTTCACCTAACATAAGCGAAGGTCACATCATGGCTGATCTGAGCCAATATGCAGACGGAGTCTGACGGACCACAACTTCTGCAGTGATTGGCTGTGCTTCTGCTATAATACATGTGCAGTCATGTCTCCATGGAGATGCTCTGCTGTTCCCCATTGTTCAGAACAACAATTCGTAGAAATGGAAAATGAGCCTCTGTGTGATAGGCAGTTCGCACGTCAAATTCAGCGAAAACACAAATCTTTACATCCCACTTACTTCAGTTCCGAGAGTCTTGTGCAGTTGTTAAGCATCGCATTCAGAAAATTTAAATTCATTTGCAGTTCACAGTGGTTTAATCTAGATAATTGTATAGAAAACAGTACATTATTCGTTAATATTTTCAGCTTGTAACAAGATCAGGCAAAACTCTATTACACCATCAAAATGATACAAAATGGTGGCACTGCAACTACATAATATTCACTAAACACAGTACTCTAGTAAACTGAAAGCGTCACAGTAAAAATAAAAATTTGTGGAACTGGAATTTTTTCAAATTTATTGTTACGGTTTTGGTATTTTAATCTGAATTTAAAAATTTGATTTTCACTTTGGTGAATAAATCCCACAGAAACAAATTTACCTCAAGGAATGTAAATCTTGAAGTTGTGAAACGATTCTGAAAGAGAATGAAAGAATATATGAGTTAATTTTGCACACATTGCTCTGAACTTACCTCAGAGCATTCAGCCTGTGGGCAGCACTGCTCTCAAATAATTTTACATTTACGGGAGACTTTAGACATTATCGCTAATCTTACACTGAGCTATAATGTTTACATTGATTAGATTGACCGATTAACATAATTTAAAGGGACACTATGGGTACCCAGACCACTTCATATCTTTGAAGTGGTCTTGGAGCAGTGTCCCTGTTCCCCTTAGTCCTGCAGTTTAGCGTTGGAGAAATTGCAATGTTTACATTGCAGGACTAAGACAAAATTCTAGTGATTGTCTATCAGACAGCCACAAGAGACGGTTTCCGTGATGATACCGGACTTTAGGTCACCTAATGCTCTGCATGAGGACATCCAGGGTCAGTGAAACCCCCATAGGAAATCATTGATTCAATGTTTTCCTATGGGGAGGTCCTAATGTGCTCACAGTGCGTGTGCATTAGCCACCTCCCCGTCGGATGTCAGAGGAGGCGGAGCACTGACCCAGTGCCGAGGGATATTGGTAAGTGACTATAGGGTTTTCAACCTAATATTGGCCGGAGGGAGAGTCCGTGAGGGTGGGGGGACCAGAGGGCACAGGTTTTGTTATTCCTAGCACAGGGGTAGATAGGAGAAAAGGCAGTGTTTACTATTACCGCCTAGTAACACCTCTAGTGGCAGTCACTCAGACGGCCACTAGAGGTGCTCCTTATCTCACTGCTACATTTACTGAATACTTCCAATAGAGGTGCATCGATTCAATGCACCTATGAGGAGATGCTGATTGGCACAGCGTGGCGTTTTGCCATGCATGCGCAACTGGATTGACTGAGAGTCCCTCAGTCATGAAGGTGGAGCCAACCACAGTGAGACTGGCGCAGTGATGGAGAGAAGGTAAGTGAATCAACCTTTTTACACCACAGAGGAGTCTTATATATGTATTCCTAACACTATATGTTCCTTTAAGGCCAAAGCAGGTAGGCAGGTGAAAGAATAGCTCACTTAGAGATTTTTTTTATTGTGGCTGTTCTGACCTTTAAATTTGAAATTCCCTTTCAATTCACTATAAATCCCCCCTTTAGTGAATAACTCTGTGAGAGTCCTATTAGTTCCTATAAATTCTGCTCCATAACTAACAATAGTTGAATTCCTCGTCAATGTACATTTTGTCACAGAAACCTACTATTCATAGCGAAACATGCATCCAAATGTTTTAAACGTCCGTTTTTAAAGGGAGGGGTGGAAAGTGGTGAATTAGCAACCTTTTCTAAGTGACATGAATCATGCGTTATATATAGCTATTTGTGTAATTAGACATGTCACTTATATCAAGCTTAGCTGTCTTCATTTTTTTTAAATACATGTAATGCAGTTTAAACACAATAAAAGGAGCTCTGTCGTGTATTACATGACATTTTTATTTTAATATGTATTTACACACACTATACTCAAAGCCAATTAACATAGGGGCTATTGCAGCTGATAACTGTAGCGTTACTTACCTTAACCGGGGGCCGGTCGCGGTCCTCTCTTCAAGCCGCGCGCGGTCCTGCGGCTCATCCGACTGCTTCAGATGGAAGGCGGGCAGTGACCGCGTGGAGCGGTCACGTGTCCCGCCTGAAACTAAGAGCGCGCCGCGAGTCTCGGGCGCGCTCTTAAAGAGACAGTGGGAGCCTAATTGCCAAAAGGCTCCCATTGGCTCCTGTCATACCACACTCCCTATACAATTACCTATAGGGGGTGTGGAAGTGACAGGAGCCAATCACTTTGGTTTAAAAGCTATTTAACTTACCTTTTTCCCTTAGCTCGTTGCCCTATCGTGGTTTCTGTTTCAGTTCCCTTTAGCGCTTGTGGTGTTCAGTTGTGTTTTCTCGTATTGACTTTGGCTTCGTATTCTGACTTCGTTTTCGCTTTATCCTTATCTGTACTGTTTGCCGGCTTGCTGTTTTCCGTGTACCAGACCCCGGCTTGTCCTAGTTTACGCTGTCTCTCTGTGCCCTTGACCTCGGTTTGTTCCTGGCTCTGTCTCCTCTCATATACGTCGAGTCCGGCCATTCTAAGGTCCGGTAGACGTATCTCTCCTCTGTATCTGCCTCTGTTTAGCTGGATCCTGCGTGTAGGGGTATATTCTCGTTACATTACGATAGGGCCATGGACCCCGCAGATTTAGCTCAACAGATGGCGTCCCATGAGGCAAGATTTGTAGAGCAGGATCACCGTATGGATCAGATAGCTCAGGCTCTCCAGACGCTCCTAGCTAGAACCGTTCCAGCAACCACACCTAACCCTCCTACGCCCCTTCTCCCTGAAGTATCTACTTTTCCTAATACTTCGGCCCATTTAACACCTCCTCCTAGGTATGGAGGGGACTCTAAGACTTGCAGAGGGTTTATTAATCAAATTGAATTCCACTTCGAAATGTATCCACGTTCATTTCCCACAGAGAGGTCTAAGGTTGGGTTCTTTATGCACCAACTCACCGATAAGGCACTTGAGTGGGCAAATCCTATTTGGGAAGCTAATGGAACTATGGTGCATGATTTCAACAGTTTTCTTACGGCTTTTCGTAGAACTTTTGACACAATGAAAAGGTCAAAGAATGCCGCGAGAGCATTAATGAGAATTAAACAGGGTTCTAGGTCTGTGGCTGATTATGCTATTCAGTTTCGCACTCTTGCTTCGCAGGTAGATTGGACCAACAATGGGTTAACTACTGCCTTTATGGAAGGTTTGTCAGATACGATATTGGATGAGGTAGCAGCTAAGGAGCTTCCTATTGCCTTAGAGGACCTTATCGATTACCTCATTGATATAGATAATAGAATTCGTGACAGGCTCTATACCAAGAACAGGAATAGACGTTTTGTTACACCCATTAACCCCAGAGTTAATATACCAGAGAGTGTTAAAGTGTCTGAGGAGGAACCTATGCAATTAGGGGTTGCCAAACTCTCTGATACTGAGAAATTACATAGGAGAAGGGAGGGACTCTGCCTATACTGTGGTAGGAGAGACCATATGGTAAAGGAATGTCCTTTACTCCCGGAAAACTCTCGCACCTAAGACCTTATAGGGGACTGGCCTTGGGTGTGATATCTAAGTCTCCTAAATTGCCTCCTAACCGCTTGCTTCTCCCGGTTTCTTTATATATGGGAGAGATTTGTATAGTTGACAACATATATGCTCTGGTTGACTCTGGGGCAGCTGAAAATTTTATAGACTCTGGCTTTATAAAGAGAAACAACATTCCCATCAGAGAGAAGGAGATACCCTTGGCCGTTGAGGCCATAGATGGTAGACCATTAAGTTCTCCAGTTGTTACTCATGAGACTGTACCATTACACATGTACACAGGGGTTTTACACTATGAAACCATTCGATTCCAGGTCATCACCTCTCCCTCTTCACAGTTAGTATTAGGGTATCCATGGTTACGTGCTCACAATCCCATTTTTGACTGGGAGACAGGGCAAATAAAATCATGGAGTGAGGCCTGCCACGAGTCTTGTACGTTGGAAGTCACACCTTTGAATTCTATTGAGGTACCTACCAGTCCTCCTTTGTCTACGGTTATACCCCCTCAGTATTTATCTCTAAAGACTGTTTTCGATAAAAGGGAGGCTGAGAAATTACCGCCTCACAGACCCTATGATTGCGCTATTGACTTGTTGCCTGGCACTATACCTCCAAAGGGCAGGGTGTACCCCTTATCGGTTCAAGAAAACCGTGTCATGGAGGAGTATATTAAGGAATCATTAGAAAAGGGGTTTATTAGGAGATCCTCTTCTCCAGCTGGAGCAGGGTTCTTCTTTGTATCGAAGAAAGAAGGTGATTTAAGACCGTGTATAGATTATAGAGGTCTAAACAAAATCACTATCAAAAATGCATACCCTATACCTTTAATTACAGAATTATTTGACAGGCTGAAACATGCCACTGTGTTCACTAAATTAGACCTTAGGAGTGCATACAATTTGATACGTATAAAGGAAAATCACGAATGGAAGACTGCATTCAACACTAGATCCGGTCATTACGAATATACTGTTATGCCATTTGGGCTTTGCAATGCCCCAGCAGTATTCCAAGAATTTATTAATGATGTCTTAAGAGATTTTATTCACACATTTGTTATCATATACTTGGACGACATTTTAATATATTCTACAGATATACACACTCATCACAGACATGTTACGACAGTTTTGAAGACCCTTCTTGCTAATGGTCTTTATTGCAAGCTAGAAAAATGTCTATTTGACCAAACCGAAGTCCAGTTCTTGGGGTATTTGATTTCCGCTAAAGGTTTTCGTATGGATCCCCAGAAGCTAGCTGCTGTAATAGAATGGCCTCTACCGCAAGGTCTGAAAGCTATTCAGCGTTTTCTTGGGTTCTCCAATTATTATAGACGCTTTATCAAAGGTTTCTCGTCCATTGTAGCACCTATTACCCGTATGACTAAAAAGGATGGCAATACTCGTGTTTGGTCTACCGAGGCACTTCAGGCTTTTGAATTTCTTAAAACTACGTTCGCTTCTGCACCTATTTTACAGCATCCTGTCCCCTCACTGCCCTATATTCTTGAAGTTGATGCTTCGGATATTGGGGTAGGTGCTGTCTTATCCCAAAGAGAGTCGCCTGAGA